AATTTTATTATAAGCTGCATTTAATTTAATTTTTTTCGTTAACTTCATATTTTAACCACATTCCATTTTCCCTTCTCTAACTGTAGCAAATGATTAGCTGTATTAACTGTTTTTTTTTTTTATTTACCAGTATGCCACACTCGAATTTGGATATATATTTACACTGGCATTATTCGTTATTAAAGTGTTGCCAATTGTACGCAAAACGTTCGAGCTCGAATCGGAATTCGACGCATTGCCGTTACTTATAAAGTTATTTGTCGAATTTTGATTGCCTCGCGCTGGCCGCGTGTCGTTGGGGCTGCGAGCACGAGGCGAGGTAGAAAGCACAGAGAAGAAGAACAAGAATTCCAAATACATATTAGATTTTCGAAAATTAGTATTAAAAGCTACTGCCTACTTTGTTAGTTTTACTACGCAAGACTTAAGAGCTAAATGTTAGTGGGAGTTATTTTATTAGGTTTTGCTGTGGATGACTTCTACTTTTGAATTATTTAGCAAAGCAATTAGTATTAACCAACAATACACTTATGTTAATTATAATCACAATAGATACTCACTGCACTTCATTGATGTGCGCCTGAAACTCCTCTTGCGTGTCGCCAAGGAAGGAGCACTTGTTGCATGCGCGCTTATTGTGCACCTTCAGCACATGCGTGGCCAAGCGTTCGGAGCGCGCGGCTTTATAGTCGCACAGCAAGCATACAAACGGTTTTGTATGCGTATTCAGATGACGCTTCAAGCCCCACTTATCCGCGCCAGACCAGGGACAGTAGCAGCAGGTGAATCGTTTCTCACGTTTCGGCTTAAGATTGCCAGTGGGGGCGCCACTGTTACCAACAATGCCACCATTGTCAATGTTGCCGCCACCGATGCCAACGCCGACACCACTACCACCAACAATGTCATCTTGCTTCTCCTGTTTGAGTTGTGGTAATGGCGCATCAGCGGCCGTTGCCACCGCTTCAATGGTCTCCGCAATGCTCATGATCGATGATGTGGGCTGTCGTTGCGTCTCCAGGAATGCATTGTCCAGTTGTACGTTCGCGCCCTGGAATATGATGTTGGGTTTTTGCTCGGGTGAGCCACAACTGATGTTCGTATTGTTTGTGAGTTGAGTATTTACCGCTGTTATGGTGACGTTGCCACGTCCGCCGGCATGGTGATTGCCGCCGCCGCTGTTGGCCGTGTTCGACGAGGGTACGTGACGCCGCGTCTTATTTATGTCGTACTGTAATTCGCGATGCATGCGCAGGAAATGCTTCTTCACGTGATCGGCCCGATTGAATTGCTTCAGACAAGCGAAACACTGAAAGGGCTTCTCCTCTTTGTGTATGTTCTCGTGACGAGTGTAGAGATCTCGTCGATCGGTGGAGTAGGGACAGTGAGTGCAAGCGTAACGTTTTTGCACTTGTACGCCGCCGTTGTTGTTGTTGGCATTGTTGCCATTTTGGTGGTTGTTATGCGACGAGTTGTTGTTGTGGGACTTCTTGCGACTGTTGCCGCCACTTGAACTGGTGGCCGCACCAGCATTCGACGATGATGTAGGTGCGGTCTGTTGTTGGGCCTGACCGGAATTCATGGTGTTGCCGGAGGTCGAGGGACTAGTGTAGATCACTTCGGTGGTGGCGTCGTTGCGGTTTTTGGACCTGAAAACAGAGTAGAAAATGAGGATTAATGTTGAATGTTTTGAGTATAAAGTGAGGTTAAGATAATATAATAAATCATATAAAAAGAAAAAAGTATGTAAAAATATAATACAACTAAATAACAAAAAGCAAGAGTAAGATAACATAAAATATATAATCATTTATTTTGGAACGAATTTCTGTCATCCCTTGTCAAGTTTGGTTTGCAGACAAACCGGTTTCGGCGTTGTGCCATCTTCAGTGTAATTTTTCGTTCGTAAAATATATAAGATAAGATAGATAAGATACAATAACATAAGTAAAGATGAGACAAGAAAAGATATAATGTATAAGCTAAGGCAATATAAGATAAGATAAAATAAAATATATAGGATAAGACAAGATAAAATAAAATAAGATAAAATAAAGTAAGATAGGATAAGACTGGATATGTTAAAATAGGATAAGAAAAGATAAAATCAAATGCAAAAATTGAAAAAAAAATCATACACATAATATGCACGATGTAGTGAACAGAAGGTGGCGTATTCCGCAAACCGATACTACTTTGGTTTTGCCGATTTTTACAGTTCTTGATGTTCGTAAAAAACGCCTCAAAAACTATAAATGCACTGAAATCCACTATACTTTCACTAAAATCACAGTTTTTTTACATTTCCTTTATTAATTTTTATTACAAATCATATATTTTCACAATTTAAAGCAATTAAAACACGTAAACACATTTCCTATCGAAAAATGGAATATTAAGATAACTGATTAATCTCACATTCTCTTTTATCCTCCTATTCGGCTTCGCTACTTTTTACTCACAAATGTCATCGCCGTCGGGAATGCGCAATCTTGTATTCTACCATTCTTGCAGAATATGTAGTAACAATATTTTATTTATCTAAATAAAAAAAAAAATAACGGAAACAAATGAAGAATATTTTCCTACATAAGTCACTCAAATTAATTCAATAAAGCAGCTCATAAAATAGGACTTTCAGCGGTCCACCATTTTGTGATTTTACCTAACCTTAAAGTTGCACATTTTGACTCAATTCATCAGTTTCATCTTCTATTACCGTTTTTT